AATACAAATGCTCGTATTCATCACACAAACATCTGCCCCCACCAGGATTCGAAACCGAGACTTCTCGAGTCGGCGACACCATGAAATCCGGTGTACAAACCACTCGGCCACGGAGGCCGTCGTACATGCTAAGGATATACGAAAAAACTGTGGTGATGTAACAGAAGTTTTACTTTAATAATCCAAATAAATAAGATCGAAAGTGAGATTGTATTCTTCTTATTACAGATTCGACATGCTGTGTACAATTTTATTGCTGGATGTACACAGATTTTTAAATCGAACACAATTTTCGGCAAAACGCCAGGCGTTTATTTATGCCACAAGTAAAAATCTAATTTACCACCATGGTGTTTGTTGGCATCCATAAAACCATGACACAACCGGACGTCACGTACTGCGTGAAACACGTAAATTCAATAGCATCAAAACACATGTAATGTTGGGTTTAACTACTTTAATGTTGTGGTATTTAATCTAAAATAGCTTCCGCCCTTGTATTTGCGTTTACTTTGTAGCTGCGAACCCTTACAATCCCTAGGAACGTTTAAAAGTGTCTTCTTATGTTGTTAATAGTTTAGCTGCAACGGTACTCAAATGACCATTTTTGTACGCATATGGTAAACCCTTACACTCTTATTAATCAACGAAGAATATGCATGTTTTGTCTCTGTTCATTGAATGACAGGGATGTGAACAAAACACGGCGTTACTAGTCAAAGCTTATTCCTTGATTATTAACAAAGGGGATTAGAGATCACTACACTGCGGAATAAAGTTTTATCACTTTCATTAGAGTTCCACAGGCGAGTTCTTCTAAAATATTTGAATGTTACGATAGAAAAATAAGGTTTCTTGTTGACCCGAAGCCTATAAAAAGGCTTTCAATTAGAGTCTGGTTGTCAAGTTTACCGAGGATTACGTACAAACTGCGATTAGGTAAATATGTACAGGTACCTAATAGGTACTTGAATTTCGTGTGTCATTCAAAACGGTTTAATGTTGTATCTCATAAAATGCTTTTGATAGTTTGAATTATACAAGTGAGTAAGTCGTAGTCTACTATAGAGATAATGCCTGCAAATTGTCACTTATCGTTTTCTGTATTTTTTGCATTATTTCTTCAAGGTAAATTAAAAGAGGTTATCGTTTGGTCATGTTGTGTAAAAATACACAGAAACATTAATTTTAAGATAATTTTTTTTTAATTATATGTAATGGTGATATTGTTATATAATTTTAATTATTATTAAAAAGACATACCTACTTTATTTTTTTTAACCCAATGAACAATTCCAATTCTAAATTGTAAGTAATATAAGTAATAGGTATCTCGTACAGAAACTAAAAACCTACTAAACGACACTGATATTAATATTGTGTTTTGTTTTAAAACTAATAATAAAAAACAAAACTATTTCAAAAATAGAACTTTCAAAGAAATTTCAATTTTGAATGTTGGATGTCGAATCAACATTTATTATATCGTGGAATGCGCACGTCACAGTGGAAAGCTGTCCCCCTGTCCCTTCACCGCTCGCCCATGAATAAATTTGAACTATAACATTCGATAATAGCTTTTACACACCATAACTTAAGGTTCTTTAAAAGTAGAACGTATAATAGAAAAGGGCTAAAAAAGTGTGTCAAACAACCTCTGCGTCTGCGATAACTTTCGAGCGAAAGTGTAGCTAGGTACTTTGTGTACTTTTTACGCAACGTTTATGTGGGAAGTCGAAGGCGCATTGATGAACGCGCGAAGTATCTAAATCTATACTAATATTATAAAGGGGAAAAGTTTGTATGTAAGTATGTTTGTAACGAATTGGCTAAAAAGTATTAGACCGATTTTAAAAATTCTTTCAACATGTGAATACTACATTATCACTGATTAATATAGGCTATAGTGTATTTTCAAAAAAGTTAGGGTTCCGTATGAAAACTTCGATAATGTAACCCAACGTGTGTAAAATATACCAAAAAATAGCCTTATATCGCGTACGCTGCGGAAGTCATTGATAATAGAGCAAAGTGATGTACTAAAGTTTTATAGAGGATACCAATATCTACAAAAAAGTCCGAGATACTATACGTCTAACTATTATAGTTATGTCACAACGTTTTTTTTAATTTCACGTTTTTGAATCCCAGTTGTAGCAGGCGATTTAAAAAAAACTGTGAATGCAGTTCTAGTTATTATTAAATTTAAAATGATGTCTTCTTTCAGTAAAATATCCTATCTTCAATATTTAACATACTTTCCCTCTGTGTGAGAAACCCGTGGGGCGCCCTGTATACTAACTACTTAAGCAGGTATTACAGTTCAAGTTGATTTAAAGTAAGGCCATTATCATAATTTGACCCACCCCCAAACCCCTTACTTTATCGTATAGCGATAGCTATAAGTGAATCACTTTCCTTTAAAAAAATTAATTATTTTTGTAAGATTGGGTATTTGCTTATGGTTGGGTAAAAACGAAGAAGATTTTTCCATACATAATCTTAAATTGTCTACATTATTTTGAAAGAAGTGAAAAGTATAAGTACACTATTTATGTGTAAACAAGTAATAGTTTTTCTTATTGTTTTTTATACACAACGATAATTGAAATCAAACATTTTATCTGACATAATAGAGCAATGTTTTTTTAAATGTGCAATTTCGTTTTACATTTATCCAAACTAACAAGATTATCCAATAGATTTGAAATCTAATTTCAGAGAGATTTCAGAAAAGAATTAAAAAAGTTATTCTTTTCAAATATTTATTCCATAATATGGTTCTTACGTTCTTATTATAATACATTGTCTTTGAAAGAAAAAGCAGAGTTCTACCTATTGTTGTAATTTAATTGACTGGAGTTAAAAATACGTTTGATACTTACCAAAGTTAGCTAACCTAAGGTAGCTCAACAAAGTAAATAAAAAAAAAAACATTATTTCGAAGACGCATTCCTGCAAAGGATGCAAAACCGTCAATAAATAAATAAAATCAGCGCACCCATCCCGTTGAAACTTATTTTATTTAATGAGTGATGTGCGTAAAAACCTAAGAAACAACTAAGTTATTGAGTTAATTACAATAATGTATAGGTATATAAAAAAGCACTTTATGAGTATCGTTACTAATCTTGATTAATTTAAAGACAATGATTTGTTTATAATCGATTTGGTTGCTGAAATGAGATTTCCGTATTCATCAAATCATTTGATTTGAAAAACAAGAATTTGCAGTCAATTAACCCTGCTTATTACATGCTCAGTCGGACTGAAAATGTATGTGATTTTTTATAAGAAACAAATGTGAGGTGACCTATTACTCCCAATATAAAAAAAAAATGTCATGTGATTTAGCAATGCGGTTAATTCTGTTTGTGATTCAGCGTGGGATCCAGAAACAACCATCTATTGAAAATCTAACATTATGTAGAATGATTAACAAAAAATAAATGAGAAGTTTTGACCATAATCACTGTCAACTTATAAAATTTGATGTAAGTTTGAACGACGTTAATTTCACACCTTGTTTAACAATGGCATACATAAGAGCTTTAGCTACTTAAATTGAATATAAAAACAAATTATCTATTTATTTATTATTATTTTTTTTTATAAAATATGTAAAACTTAGCTTTTTCCAAGTGAAGACGGTAAAACTACAAGATTCTAAGAACCTTATCTGTTATAATATTGTAATATCACTGGTAATTCTGTCGTTTAGTTTTTGGTTTGTTGTAATGCAGTATTGTGGATTTTAGACCACCTGTAACTCTACTCCACAGCTATTAGTTTTATTTTTTAAATCTTAATACGAACGATCAGATGTCAAATCAATGACAACAACTTGACAGATTAGTTAACCGTGCAACTCGGCTACAACGATATTATATTACTTTAAAATTATTAATTATTGCAACTATTTGTCAGTACAGAAGTAAAAACAAAACTAAAGGAGGAAACTTTTAAAGAAAAAAGTTTGCAAATAAAAACTTTGTATATGAAAAAGTTTGCGAACAGATTTGCTTAGCGTGTTTGTTTTTTACAAATGAACCTGTGCCCTCTGGAGCTATGTTCGTATCTTAAACAGGTTATGCTGGTTTCATTTAGTTCCAAGTGGAGGCTTCTTAGATAACGTATCAACAAAGAGTTGCAAACATTTTAAAAAATCTAATTAGAATGTATTTCGTATGTGATTAGATCGCATAAATTTTTGCAAATCGAAATAGTTTTTAACCTATTAAATTTATAGAAAACGGATTCCAGTGATTTAGTCGTTTTATTAATAAAATTAGGATAGGTTTGGGCCCAAGTATCTAAGGTTGTTTTCCAATTACAGAGCATAATGCGACTCAGTGGGGCGCACAATGCCAAATTATGCTGATGCATAATTGGAACGTGAATTAGTTTTCAAATGCACCAGTAGAGTGCGCTAAGTTCAGTGTTGAAAAAAAAGTCAATGTTTGTACCTTCATCCATACTTATATTTTTTTTAACACTTTGAATGAACTTTGATTATTAAAAAAAAAACTATTTAATGAAACGAAAGTTTTAATAATTTTTCAACAGTAAATAATATTGCTAACGATAACATATAAATAAAACATTTCGATTTCAAGTTATTTTATATTCACTAACGTAGATTCATTAGCATTCTTTTCATTACAATTTGGTATTTTTATCGTAAGCTGCTTTGAAAAGTTACTAGTGATGTATCACTTGAGTGTACTCAAGTAAATTATTGGTGTCAAGAACAACTACTTTAAAGGGCGTCATTAGTTCATCAACGAGTTTACTAACATTAAGGAATTACACATAAGTAATCATTTTGGTATTATAACTAAGATAAACAGTTTCAAAATACCTATTTTAATGTTATTGTTTACTGCCAGCGATGCAATGATATAAGCGAATAAGTAAAATTTACGATACGTAAACTGTTATTACGCAAACATTTTGTTTAAAAGTGGTAAACAAATAAATAAACTATGAAAAACACTTACCATATTGTACGTAGGCAGCGAGAAGGAGAACGGGCACAAACAGGGACATTGCCATTTTTCTAAATCCGCCGAGCGAAGTAAATAATCACAAGTGAATGTCGTAATATCGCGTTCCGTTCAGACGGTTGGCTCCACACTGGTTTGGCGGTTGAATGGCGAGTGAGCGGTACGCTGTGTCGCAATGTGAATCCACTGGACCGCACAGAGTGGCGGTTGCGACGCCGCGTTTTGAACGCTAGCAAAATATAACTATTAGGTAACTTGGACGTCTGGTGTTCTACACTAGTGCTTAAAAACTATGTAAGTTGCAAAGTGTGATAGATGACAACGCCGATTAAAATACTAAAATTTTCTTTTCATTTTGGAAACGTACAGTGTAATTTTAGCAACAACTGTAGCGTACCTTACAATACAAGAGTTTTGTCTTTAATTAGTACCACCATGATGAATTGTACAAGTGGTTTTCTTGTTCGGCATTTTTATATTATTTTTTGAAAGAGAGTCTGGCGCTACAATGAGATTTAAAAGATTTTTGCCAGTAGTACTACAGCCGCGATTTTGCTTCACTGACTCAAAGGCAGAATGCAGTGCCTACGACGATTCTAAAATTCTATGACATCTGCCCTCAATAAGTCCATATATTTATTTCGAAGAGTTTGCTGAGCCTAGCTTCAGCTATTAAAGGTACTCTTTTTCAATCCAGCTCATATGAAATTCGGGTATCTTTCATGAAAATGAACACTTTTACTGAGATTGCTAACATGTACCTTGTTTTTTGGGAGTCCCTGATATATGTGCAAAAACAAAAAGTTTCGTTTCGCGACCAGATACTGTAAGTATTGTGTGTCACATTCACATCTTAGTATTCTCAATCTCATCTATCTCATTTCGCTCGCACCGGGGTTGAGCGCAATAAAAGACTACGTCAGAGGGTGTCGAGCGTAATAAACGACTACGTCAGAGGGTAGACCGATATGTCTGCCAATAACTTCAGTTACACCGTGATCATGGCTCTTGCACATTGCCGAAATATCGGGGACTCACAAAAAACAAGGTACATGGTAGCAATCCCGCTAATAACTATAATGATGGTGACCATTAAAGTTTAAAAATATAAGTTTTTGCTAATTTGATATTATATGATATTTTAATGATTGAAAAAAAATACAGTATCCGGGTTCTTTGTTCCAGAAATTGCAGCTTTATTTTGTTTTCAGTTCGATGTTGGTTTAAGTATATATACTTATTTGCGAACACATTCTTACTTATTTTCATAATATTGTAACCAACATACAATGAAGTCGATTATGGCAGGATTCTCTAAACCTAAACTTAAATTTGACAACAGTGTATCCTTGTTATTCTTTATCTATACTTATAATAAATCTGTAGAGAGGTCAATTCTGTACATGAAATATATTTTCAAAATAACTATCAGGGGGTGATTAGTGATCGATACTGATGCCAAAAATGCAATCAGTAAATTTTTTGTCTGTCTGTATGTATGTTGCTTATAGAAACAAAAACTTCTAGACGGATTTTAACGAAACTTGGTACAATTATTCTTCATACTCCTGGGCAGAATATAGTATACTTTTCATCACGCTACAATCAATAAAATCAGAGTAGTGAAGGGAAATGTTGGGAAAACGGGAGAAGTTACTCCATTTTTTAAGCTTCTGTCACGTGTGCAGCCTTAATGGTTAAAGTTACATAGAAATCATGTATGACGGAAATATTCTACATAAAATTGTCTAAAAAATATCCTGCAACAGCATAATGTCTATCTTTTATGGTTGACTCACAATAACACGTGTAACTCCTGATAGCTTAGCAGTTCGGAGCATTCTGATTATATTTGTTTACTCTTACGTTTATAATACTCTCACTCATCCCTCAATTAAAAATACTTAATATTATTACCTATTCAATAAAAAAAAGAATCGTAGAAATCGGTAAAGAAACACCAAACTTATACATGAAATAAGCCATCGCGCCGTCGGTCGCACATGAATACTGAATCATGCTATAAGGATTATTTTTGTGTAGCGGTTGCCGCGCTCGACACGGGACATATAGGCTACATATTATCACGCTATCACCTACGGGGCACGCGGCACGAGCAGTGAACCTTTTTTTCTAACTAACTCCACGCGTACGAAGTCGCGGGCGGCCGCTAGTACAGAATAAAAAGGAGAGATTGATGTTAAAGGAGACCCGGCACTTTTCATAGAAAAAATGCTAAACTTGTATACAGTTGAATTTGGTCTCAAAATAAAGCCAAAATTATTTGCTACATAAAACTACTTTTGCCTTATTTTTAGTGAATCGTGGAAAGAAGTTATATAATGATTAATATATTTTGATATGAAAACCCTAAATCTTCAAGGGACAGAATTTTACTTCAAAATATTACTCAAGTGACTGTAAAAACCATGATTCCTTTGCTTTTTCTAAATAAAAAACCAAATGTCAATTTGACAATCCTAAAATACAAACAAAAAAATCATTCGCATTTCGCATCCGCTTTCGTGTACTGTGATTGTGAATGTTCTCTGTTGTGATTGCCTTTTTATCCGTTATTTCTCTTGACGCCCCGGCTACATATAGAGGTTATATTGACAAACCTACGTATTTGACATTGACAGCTAGCTGCTGATGACAAATATTGCCAGACTACGTTATCCAATTATGAAACACAGATAAAAAAAATGAAAAAGTATACAACTTTGGCATAAAATGCCGGGTGTCCTTTAGTTTTAAGTTTAGAGAATCGTGCCAGAATCGACGCCATTGTCCCGCCCGATAAAATATTAAAAAAGTGTTTGTATAACTGAATTTTAGATTTTTTTTAATAACTACCCAAACCCGTTAGTTGTTAAGTAGGTATTTGTAAGTTAAGTATTCTTAAAGTTTCTAATTACTTACGAAATTCTGTGAAAAATGACATAGACAATACAACTTTAGCCGCAATAGATAAAAACAAAATATGAACAGCATTATGTGAAATACTTTAAATTTGATAAGTGTGAGTCTTTCGGTGAGTACCTATGTGTATCCATAACAATAAATACTAAAAACGACTTATTAGGCATGAATATATATATTATAATAAGATATTATATTGGTACTTAAGATTTCAAAAGTTCGTTCATTCGCGTTCCAACCGCTTTTTTATCGGTGATACCAATTAAGCAGCAAGTACAAACGTGGGGATTGGCGCGTATACGGTACTATGCGTACTGTTCTTTTTTTACTATAAATGTTACAAAGTATATACTTTTAAACGAGTCATCAAAAGGTGATTAAATCACACTTCGTGAAATGCTTTTTGAGAAAATACATCAATGTAAAGCACGTTATAAGTTAATAAGTAACCCTGTTCTTTACATACAAAATTCTTAAAAAAAAAATGGTTTGATTGAATCATACGAGTATATATAAGGTTTAAGGTTTAAAGAATTTATTTCTCATACGAACTTACACAGACAGTTCACTTAAAATGAGATACATAACTAAAACTAATAACTTAATTGAAATGACACAGCGCAGCTGCTTTATAAAACTATAATTTAGTACAATAGGTAGGCAAACTATTGTTATTAATACAAGCACAATACAAAAATGCAATCTGGCATGTTTACGAGCGAATGACAAAATTATTATTTTGCTACCGTCCCTTCACAAAGAAAAAAAGAAAACATGCAATTCGTACCGGCGGAGTACCGATAAGTAACCAAGACGGTAGATATTGTTTCATCAGTCACTCGATGCATAGCATTATGAAAGATGCGGAGTCGCTAATGCAACTCATTGCGTTAGAACTTATATTTATATATTTAATTTTTGAATTTTCTTTTACCACGTCCCGATATAATCAAACAAAACAAAAGAAGAAAAAAAAAATAACTTTTCCCTGCAGTATTATAACACATACACATACAAAATATTACACATAATTTATTTAATTCCATTTCGCAATAAATTTTTAAAAAATATGTTATGTTTGTATAGAGTAATTAAAAAAATATAAAAATATAGTAATTTGGAAATAATTATAAAAATATTCATGCAATTTAAATAGATATGTGATAGCAATTGTATGTAAAAGATTAAAACATATTTCATCAAAAAATAAGTTAAAACTAGTCACATTATTTTCTGCTTAATTTTAGAAAAATCTGTTTCACTCTCTACTCTGAAATGAGGAGAATCCTCTTTCTTTCGTAAATATATTCTGCCATAGGAAGTCCAGCAAAATTTTAAATCATTTGTGTTAGCAAAGTCCTTTGCTAAATAAAAAAGTCGCTTGCCTTTTAGGGTCAAGCATTCTGACACAAATATTGTTTTTTTCGAACCCGCTAAATGAAAGTGTACCGTATTAAGTTTATTATCTTTGTTTGTAGAATTAAACTTTTTTACGGATTTTAGGACTTCATCTTTTTTTATTACCGAAGTTAGTTCCAAATGATTGGCTTTTCAGTCGCTTTAGAATAACCGCGATAAACATCTTTGATTTCCGATCTTTGTATGTCAACATTTAGTACAGTTCCCAACTTAGCAATCACCTTGGAGATCTCTTCTTTAGACTCATTTTCCAACTTTGGAATATTACGTATCTCGATTTTTGCGGCACAAGCATTTCTTTCCAGCGATTCAATTTTAAACTCTAAGGTCTTTATATAGGATAGGTGATCATCTCTTTCTCTTTTAAAGTCTTGAAGTTGAAGTTGCACCTCGTCGTATTTGCTGGAGAGTAAGTCCATAGATACTGTCAAAGAATCGTTTTGCTGTTTGATGTCACTTAGGGCGGAATGAAGTGATGCGAATTTGGAGTCCCGAGAGGCGACAAAGTTATCAAAAAGGCTCCTCATCTCGGACATTATATCTTTTATATCATCAGGCCGCTTTCTTTTAAGGCGATTAGTATTAATGTTCTTAGGGTCCGAAACAGTACGTTCCGCAGTAGAAGTCTCGCTCAGATTCGAGTCCGATATAGACTTTTTTGGGGGAGTGCGGCGAAGCGACATTTTATTTAAATAGTAAACAAGTTTGCCGCGCAGTAAATTTCCTCCCGTACATTGGTCTGTGATTGGATGGGTGACCAAAAATTTACTTTCTCGAGCTCCTCCGTGCTTCGGAAGGCACGTTAAGCCGTT